TAACAGCTATATCCTTTTCTTTCTAAGAATTGACCCTATAACCAACACTTCTATAAAGAAGATGGCAAAGGTTGTGTAAAATATATCAGCTGATGATTTAAAATGAACTATAAAGTTTGTCTGTTTATAGTAAAGAATATGGGGAAACAACTAATGGAGGATTGGAAAAAAAAGTGGCCAAGTATACTTGTAAAAAGTCCTCCAGATTTCTTGTAGGCCCCATTTAGGTATTGGAAGACCACTGTATGGTCACCCCTGCGGCTTCTCCTCTCCTCTCCTCTCCTCTCCTCTCCTCTCCTCTCCTCTCCTCTCCTCTCCTCTCCTCTCCTCTCCTCTCCTCTCCTCTCCTCTCCTCTCGTCTCTCGTCTCTCGTCTCTCTTCTCTCCTCGTCTCTCTCCTCTCCTCTCCTCTCCTCTCCTCTCCTCTCCTCTCCTCTCCTCTCCTCTCTTCTCTTTTCTCTTCTCTTCTCCAGACTGAACAACCCCAACTCTCTCAGCCTGTCTCCATAGAGGAGGAGCTCCACCTCTCTGACCATCTTTGTGGCCCTCCTCTGTATAAAAGGTATGACTTTAAAAATTCCCCTAGAGTCAGTGAAATATTCACATCTAATGTCTCGGCATTTCTCAGCAGGTGAGGGCTGTGTCTTAGGAGTGGGGGACTTGATCCCAGGTTCCATCTCTTGGCAATGGTCCTGATGGTCCTCTGATTACTGCAAACTTGAGAGTCAGCAAACTCTGAGGGACATCCCACTCAGAGGGAGATGCTGGTTGCCACCCACTGCAGTACAGGAGAGCTCAAAGGGCCTCACTTTGAACCATTATTCACAGGGTTGCAAAATGATTGGCTTTAGTCATTAGTAAATTTCCATACTGGGCACAATCCAAGTTGGTAATTACTAGGAATTTTTCAAAACTCCAGTAACAATGGCACTGTTCCACTCAGGCTACGATAAAGGGAAGGAGTGTTCTAAGGCTGTCAAGGAATGACTGACTATCCCTACTCTTGCTTCCCACCTTAGCCAGGGAATGGAAGTCCCTACTACAATCAGTGCCTTCCTCCTTAGCCATGCAAGAGCTCCTGGTATGGGCAAGGGACACTTCATCGCTCAATTCATTATACAAAGTCTAAGGTCTGGCAGAAATTCCAGAGATCATAGAGCAGCCCAGAGGATGAGGTGGGGAAGTAAGATGCACCATCGCCAAAATACAGAAAATTGAGCACCTCATTCCAGTCCTCTAGATAATGATCTATGTATGCTACATGTATGCATGCTTATTTATGAGTATCCCTTTACGAGCTTACAATAGGTATTGCAAAATCTTGGGAGAGATGAATCGCTAATGAACTCAAACCCTCCTATGAGATCTGGGCCTAATCACAACATCTTCAGTATGTCTGCTACCTTCTTCACCATCTCACCAGTAAGACTAACAAAGGATTTGTAAAACAGTCAACAAATAAATACATCACTGCACAGTCACAGAAGGATTATCAATAATTAAAGTTACAAACAATTATCACTCAGTTCTGAGCCTATTGTACATTGAAAAAGGAAATGTCTTCCTTCAAGACCACAGGGCTGCTACATGTGAAAATAAATCCAATTGTAATGTTGTTTATATTGTTAAATACTGTACATATTTACATGTGGTGTACCTCCTGCTGATGACAATACCCTGTCATGGGATGGACCCATCTGCTCCACAACACCTAGGAGGCAAAAGCAGATGTTGCCACAGCACTGCCTCATCCATGAATTGTCAATTGCTGCAATGGAGCTGGCAGATGGGTGTAAAAGCTCTAATCTCCTTGGTTCTCACATACCACCCAGCATCCAGATCTGTTATGGGTTGTCACTTTCTCTATCTTGCCCATGACAGCAGCCCAGCTAGTTCTAGAGTCCAGACATCTAGTCCAAAGCTCTCTAATATGGCTACAAGGATATTATGAAAGACCATGCTGAAACCTTGCCAAAGCAAATATAAACCACCACTACCACTCTGTCTTCATCCACTGAAACAGTCCTCCCATTATCTCACAATAGAAAGCAGTCAGCTTGATCAGGCACAGTTTGCACTTGGTAAGTCTATGCTGCTGTTTCCAATCACCTTTTGTTCTTCACATGCCTGATAACAGCTTCCAGAAGGATTTGTCCCTTAATTGTCACATGGTTTGGGGTGTGGCTGATCATCCTTCACCTCCCTGGACCTTCACTGCCCTTCTCAAGGATGAGCATGACATTTGCCTTTTTCCATTCACCAAGGGTTCTTCCCCATTACTATGACCCAGCCACTCTTGTGTACAGATAGGAGGCTCAACCAGGTTCCTACCTCTCTCCACTGAGATCAGGAGCATTTTACTTAATGTTAAGTCTCCATTTAGGAGACTAATATTAAGGCAGTCACCTTTCCTGCTCAAGATATTTGGCTGCCCCTCCTTCTTTTTAACCAGTTCCATGCTATCTGCCCTTGATCATCTCATTGCTATAAAGACTAAGCAAACCCTGAGCATATGTGACCTTCAAGGGGACATGCAGCACAATGGGATTATTCAAGGACTCTTATAATTTCATTGAGAACAGAGCTGGCAGTTAAATTTCATGTCTGTTTGACAACCTATCCATCTCTTATATACGTAGGTATGACTGTGTGCGTGCATGAGTGTACGCCTGCAAGTATTGGCTAAACAGGACTGACCAGGAACAGATGGTAGAAGAGGTTGGTTGAAGGAAGGATAAATCCTTCCACCCAGTTATTGGCAGTCCATGGCAGCAGTTCCCAAGCTACTCTGCTTGGGAACCTCCAGTGCTATGGCTGCTCTCTTACTGCCACACCGAGGCTCACATCCCTGCATTTGGGAGTTCCTCTAAGAGCATGCTGGTGGTCCTAGGTGGCTTTATTGAGAAAGGACCAACCAGCGCATGTCTCTGGCTACATGATGCGGGAGGCTGGGCTTGCCATAGTCACTCTGACTTATGGATTTCATCAAAGCAAACAGAAGCAGCTTGCCAGCTACTTCGACTTTGAGGGCCAAGCCGAGGGCACATGGGAAATTGCCAGAGAGAAGAAGGGGATCAGAGAAGAAATATTGCCAGCAGCTCACTCCCGTGCTGGGAGATGCTCATGCACAGAAAATTATCCAGAAGCAATGATAGTAGTAACCATGACAATGTCAGAAGTACAGCACTAGCAGGGTTCCCTCAGGGATTAACACTTTTCCACACCATGAGCATATCTCCCTTTTTCTGACGTGTGCTGTTGTTCCAGTGGTAGTTCATGTTTGCTTTATCTTCCTGAAAGCAGAGCTACCTGAGAAATTGCTTTCTCTGTGAACTGCAACCAAAGTTGCCTCATTTCACTGAACACACTGCTATTTTCTAAGACGTGACTCAGAGCCTTTCAGCTGGGTGTCAGCATGTGCTACTTGACAGAAATGAAATCAGCATTAATTCCACTTTGTTTTTCAGTAAGTTTTTGTCTTTTCCTGCTCCAGATCATGAGTGAGGTACATAGGGAGCAGAGCTCAGAGAGACTGATCCTGGCTGTGTGTGAGGACCTGCTTCTCACAGCAAAGGCTTCATGCATGGGTGGGTCACTAACAAGCATGATCTTGGTGGAAGAGAAGGAAAGGCAAACTGTGGGCACTAAGTAGCCTGACAGCTTGGCAGACCTTTCTCACTGACTGCTCAGTTCTCAGCCTTTCGTGCCCACACCAGCCAAGGGAATCATTATTATTATTATTATCATCACCATCTTCTTCTTCTTCTACTTCTTCACCATCATCATCATCATCATTATTCTGCATAGCTCATTTTTACTCTTCTTCTGTATGTGTCAACAAAGATCAAGCTGCACCAGTGCTTACCACTGGGCTAGGAAAGCCCAGCAGTGCTCTTTTGCAGTACAAGAAATTGCAGTAATAAGCATAAAGAGTAATACTCAGCATCTGACAGGACGACTGATGTAAGCTGTCAGCCAATATTTGACTTTCCAGGTGAGATTAGATTTAGCATTTAATTTAATATAAACACAAAGCATGCAGTACAAGGCACTTATTTAACAGACAGTTGCTTACACCCTTATGCAGGCTGGAGACTAAAACTTTAAGCTCTCTCTTCTCCTTACAAGAGTGTCATCATATTATCCAGTGGAGTTTTAAAATCCTGAGTGTTAATCCTGAATCTCATTAGAGAAGGTCACAGGAAAGGTAAGTTTCCGTTGGTAACTCTTTATTATTGAAAAAGCACAGTGATTTTTGTTCTGAATTCAAGGAAAATGCAGATTTTAAAAAGTTTCAAGACAGTCTGCATTTGGTTTTGTTCATAGCTTGTTTACTTTAAATAGGTTACCTTTATCCCCTATGTTTGAGTGTGAGTATATAATTGCAGAGATCTACATGCATGTGTACCTGCGCCCTTCCGTGTGTGTGCGCACGCTGATGTTGCAAAGCTAGTTCAACAAGTAAAAGGTAGGTAGACTGCTGAACTCCAGTTCAAAAGACACTGCAATTTCTTATTAGTGATGAAAACTCACTGTCTCTTACCATAGTCTGCAGTAAGCTCATCACTGCTTGAAGACTGCACTGAGATCAAGTGACTTTTCTTGGAAGCTTTTGCCCTTTGTGTAGGGTTTGGTTGGCCTGAAGCATTAAAGGACAGATATTATAGAGGAGCACCAGACTGAAATGCTGTAACACACCCTTCACTTTCTGCAGGCTAGGAAGCCGCAATCCAGTGAAACCCTCCTCTTTATGTAGGAAAGGCAGAGGACGGTGGTACTTCTCAGAGCTTCTTGAGAACTCCTTCACTGGAGTCAGTATGTGCCAGTTTCTGCCCCAGATCTAGCTCAGTTCAAGCAGGACCAGATGGATCAGGGAGAGTGACTGGATCAGGGGACAATCTGGACTGACAAGCAATCAACTGCTGAGTAGGTATCTCTCTCTCATCTCTCCCCATTGCTCTGTTCAAGGGTTAACAGCCTGGGACCCTCAGTAGGACCCTTTTCCCCTCTGCTAGCAATACTAGCAACACTGAAATCAGGCCTTTGAGAATGTCTCCTGTGGGATGGAGACCTGATTCATGCTTTTCTGAAGAGCAGCTGGGTCTGACTGTGGCAAGGTCTGGAATAGCTGGAAGAGGGGCAGGACAGATGTGGCTCTGCAGCACTACTCAGCATCCCTGCCCCTTTGGGATGGCTGACCCTAATGACCCAAGAAGCCATTTCAGGTATGAGGGCTCTGCTTCCTTGTCCCTTCTCTGTCTATCAGGCTACCATTTAGGAGTTAGCTGTCTGGCTATTATGCTCCCACAGACTCATCTAAGATTGTATGGGTACACCAGCCTTCACACCAGATGTAATGTTTGACACCAAACAAGAAAGGGGAGTCACATCCCTCCCTGAGAGATCCTAGGAAGCTGCCTGTAGTGGCAATGTGCCAGCCTTAACACAGGACCCAGTATGTGCTTTGTCTTCTGGGCAAAATGCTTCTTCACTCAGTGTTTTGCCTCAGTAGGGAAGGCAGGGTGCCTCAACCCCTGTAACGTGGGTCATGGGGGCCCATGCTAACTGGTCTTCACCAAGGTGTATCTGGCTTCCCACAGGCTAAAAGTGACCCAAGTGAGAGGAGGTATAAGACCTCCTTGGGTCTCTGAACATACTGAACCTCTCAGAGATGCATATTCTCAGCTTATCTAAAATTAGTACTGCACTTTCAAGTGGCAGGTGGAAAGTGCTATTAGCCAATTGTCATAATGCAGACAAAAGAAAGCAATGTAACTGTTTCAGTATAGATATTTACTTAAAATAAATACCATGTTGTCTTTAGAGCCATAACTTGCAAGGATGAATGAGATACAAAACTTCACTTGGGCAGTAGAAGATATTTTCAAGGAAACTTTTCTCACTTACATGAATGGCTGGAGGAGAAACATGACGGAAGCAGCAGACAAATTGCAAGCCAAGGTTGATGCTGAAAACTTTGACTATGTTATTCTTTATTTAATGGTGATGATTGGGATGTTCTCCTTCATTATTGTGGCAATCTTGGTGAGTACTGTGAAGTCAAAGAGGCGAGAGCACTCCAATGATCCCTATCATCAGTACATCGTTGAGGACTGGGGCGAGAAGTATAAAAGCCAGGTTCTGAATCGAGAAGACCTCAAGTGTGTGATCCACGAAAACCCAGGTGCAAGGGACAAAACAAGCCCTGGATCACCTTGACTTTTTGACAACATCTGCAATGAGGAAATCATAAAGCCACGTGCAGGGAACTCACTGGAATTACAAACAGATGTGAAACTGTTTGTTAAATTAACAAACAGGACAATGAGAAACAGAGTGCTGAGGAAATCAACATTACTGCTTCCCATGAGGACTCTGGCATGGCTGCTCAGGGAACACCCAAGAAAAATGCGTGATTGTGCTTTGCTTTCATACTCTGTTCTTCAGGAAAATAAAACCAAGAGAATGAGCGAATGACTTACTTGACTTTTTTAAGAATTTTTTAAATCCAGAAGCAGATCTGGATGTTCCCAGAACAGAATAACTGTGAATTAGTGGCCAAAAGTGTTGATTTAGATCCAAACTGTATGACTTAAGCCCAACTTAAAAATGTACAGTAAAATACCAAAATCTCCATTTATTGACTGAACAATGTGTTACGGTATGAATCAATCATAGGAGGTAACCTCTACCTACACACATTTGTTCAAAACTATTTTCTTAATAGTTTTTCTCCTTTTTTATTTCACTATTCCTTGGCAGCAAAGGTTGAGCCACGGCCTTTTGACAAGGTCTGGTTTATAGCAGTAGAGCTGCTAAGCTCATGTCCTAGTTGTGTAGGGCAGCTTCCAGAGGTTCATTATCTGTCCTCAAGTCCATAACTGGCCAACCTGTCTCTTCTGCTGCTCCTTGGTTCTCCAGAGTAATGTCTATCTGGGGTGCAAGCCGTGTGATGGAAGCGTTGGTTACATCCCATCAGCCAGGGCTCAGTCTAAACCACTGAGATCCTGCCTTCTGGCTTTCAGAGGAGGAATTTCTAGACCCAGTTACCAAAGCTGTCCCATTGCCATGCTTCCTAAGGGATTTCCATGGTAGGTACTTGTTTCCAATGGCTAGGAAATGGGTTTTCAAGATGGTTTGTCTTCTCATGTGCTGCTGAAGTATCACAAAGCCTGCTCTTGGGGAATAACAAGAAGCAGAACTGGTGACACTTCTGGTATTAAAACATGCTTCGTTTTGTAGGTTTAGCTCCTATTCACGTTGCCAGACTTAAATTGCTGAAGCTAAAAGTTCCCATGCCGTCTGTCTATCGTGTGGGCTTGTTGTTTGTTTTTAGACAGTTTTGGCTGAAACACTTCAGCCATGTCTGGCACCACGGTTCTAACAATTTTGTTTTGCTCATCTTAAAAAGAAATGAAAAGGGCTTCTTCTCTTGGGAAGCTTTGGCTTGTTTTGGAGACTGGTCTCCAGATTGGGCACAGTAGCTGCTGTCATGCTCCCGATGTGACTTTTGCTGGCATAGGAATAAGCCTGTGACATCCCAGCCTGCAAGGGCTGGGGAAGACTTGTCAGGTCCCAGAGCACAGCGTTGTGGGGAGCCTCTCTTCTCCAGCATGTGCCCTTTCCCCCACCTCCCCGGGTGGTCTGTGGCTGCCAGCTCCCCTGCTCCCACCATGGGTGTGCTCCACAACTAGGCTGCGAGGCTTCCCTTCCTCTCAGTGACCACCAGCTACAAAAACAGATATTGGGTTGCAAGATACTGGGCTGCACAGAGCGGGCAGCGGGGCCACGCTGCCCTCATGGAGAGCCTCTTTTGGCAAGGTACAGCCGGAGGACCATGCTTGGGGCACTTGTACGGCTGCACCAGCATCCCCAGAAGCTGCCTCGGACCCGCTCGGGTCCTACTTGCTCTGGTAAAAACAAGCAGCAGCTGAGGCTGTTGCCAGGTTGGATGGGTCTTTGAGCAACCTGGTCTAGGGGAAGGTGTCCCTGCCTATGGAAGGGGGTTGGTTCTGGATGATCTTTAAGGTCCCTTCCAACCCAAACCACTCATTCTACAGGGACCTGGCCGGCTTTGCCCTTGCACCTACACCCCCGGGGCATGTGGGAACTGTTTTACCTCACAGTTATTATGTCCGGGGTAAGAAACACGAGGCTGTTTCTGCTCCGGCCTCAGCCGGCGGCCGGGACACGGTGCGGTTGCGGGACAGGCGCAAGGGCACGGCAAGGGTACGCGACCGCTCCGGTCCCTGCCCCGCCGGTGCCTGCCGCGGCCGCTCCTGGGAGATGTAGTTTGTGGCGCCCTGCCGCCCGGAGCCATGGCCGCGCTGTGAGGTAGGAGACGCGTCTGCTGGGCCTCCACTCACACCCCTGCTCCGCGCGGCCGGCCGCGGCGCCCTGCGGGTTGGAACCGGGCTGCGGGGCGGCCGGGAGAGATCGGGCAGGAGCGGAGCGGCCCCCGTTTCCCCCCGACCCGGCCCGCGCTGCTGCCTCCGGCCTGCTCGCCTGCCCGCCAGCCGCAGAACCCTCACTCCCCTCGGCCTTCCCTGGCCTCCTGCCTGTTCTGCTGCCCCCGGCTGGAGCGTACCTTCCTTTGCCCTGCCTCCTGCCCCCCTTTCTTGCTTTCCTGCGGTCCTACCCCCCCCCCCCCCGTCTGCCTGCCCGCCCTGCCCATCGCCCTGCCTGCCTGACCCTGGCGTCGTCCTGGTTCCTGCTCCGGCGCCTGGGGCCTGAGGGTGTGCGAGGCGGCAACAGAAGCTCCCTCGTAATAACCTGCGACCTCCCGGCTGCCTCTCAAACGAGGGACTGTGTGGTTTAAAAGCTGCTGGAGGCATGTTCGCTGGCCATAAACCACGGGCAGGCATGATACAGCGGTCTCACTGCAGGGTACAGGGCAGGGCCACCTGGAATTGTGCTTTACCCTGTATGGATCTGCAGAGTTTTTGTGTTCTAAGAAAAAAAATGAAGTGAATAAGTACGAAAGAGGGATCTGAAAATATCATTTGTTGATAAAGTTTGGTATGGGTTGCTGGCTGTCCTGGGCATTGGTGCTGCAGGGACCAGCGCAGGTGCCAGGGCAGAAGTGGGGTAGGGATGGAGGTGGGGGGCTGCCAGCCCAGCAGACCCTCTTAGGGCAAGGTGGTAGCTGCAAGCAAGGGCCTGCAGCTTGCCCCTGGTATGTGGTTGAAAGGATGCCCTGGGGAGCCACGGTGGAACAGTCAGATGTGCTGCTGACATTTTTAGTTTTCGTTTGGTTTGATATGATTTTAATCCAGGTGCCATGATCAGTATATCCCATCTGCTCTGTTCTTATTTTACAGAGTTTGGAGCATGTGAGGAGCTGCCAGAGGAAATCTCTAATTTTAATTTCTGCTTCTTCAGGTATGAATATCTTATATGGCTTTAGGTTTTTGATGTTCCTTGAGTTGGTGTTACAGAATCATAGAATCATTAGGGTTGGAAAGGACCTTAAGATCATCTAGTTCCAAGTTTACAGACTTCTTACTGTTGTGACAGGACAAGGGGTAATGGGTTAAAACTTAACCAGGGGGAGTTTAGATTGGATATAAGGAGGACATTCTTTCCTGTTAGGGTGGTGAGGCACTGGAATGGGTTGCCCAGGGAAGTTGTGAATGCTCCATCCCTGGCAGTGTTCGGGGCCAGGTTGGACAAAGCCTTGGGTGACATGGTTTAGTGTGAGGTCTTCCTGCCCATGGCAGGGGGGTTGGAAATAGATGATCTTAATGTCCTTTCCAACCCTAACTATTCTATGATTCTATGATTCTTCATCACTGACACTACTGTAAACTGAATGATTGCACAGGTCTTTTTATGGAGTGATGTCTTTACCCACCTACACATAGAGAGGCAGTAAATGTGTGCAAGTCTTAGTGCTTCTGACTTAGTATGACTACTGCGTCTTGTGGCAGTGGTCTATGAAAGATTCGTAGCACAGCAGCTCTGGCTCTTGGTTGCTTCCACTGTGTTTCTTTGCAGCCTGGGCTGCAGCAATTTTGCTTTTCCATATTGCTGTGTTTTCCCATGACCCGGTAGTCTTTTTTTTTTTGTTTAAGGAAGCTTGATCTTGTCTTGCAGATGTGGAGCCTGAAGCATAACACAGCATGTCACATATAGTGGTGGGTCCTCCAGTGACTGTCCATGTGGGAAACACTGGCTTTGCTTCCTGAAATGTGTGCATTAAAGAAAGCAGTAATGAAACAGGTGGAGTGAAACCACTTTTCTAGCTCAGGACATACTCAACCATCGCACCATTTTAAATGCAGTCACATAGCCCTAGTAGCTCACTGCTTTCTGAGGCCTTGGGGCTGGTGACTGTTAGAGCTTTTTACAAAGTGGATAAAATGGAGTTGCTCAGAAATCCCTAGTAGACAAAATAATATCTTGAGTCCCATTTTGTTGGGTAGATGGAGTTATTGGCAGGCTGAGTGAGGCATTCAGCCAAGACAACTCAAGTGGGTTTGTGAGTACCCAGATGCCTGTGTAGATGTTTTCTGGTGCATTCAGGCCAGTTGATACTCTGCTGCTGCATAAGCAAACAATGGCATGAGTGGCTGGGCTGTGATGTGGTTGCTGTGGTGGATTGGAGCTGTAATTCAGTGGCTGAGAGACCTGGATTCAATTCTTTGCTCTACCACAGACTTCCCATCTGACTGAGGCCCAGCTCCTCAGTCTGCCTGGGGTGGTCTGGCTTGCACAACACAGCGTTGTGCAGAGATCCTGGGGCTGGTATCAGCCAAAGTCTAGCTCTGGGACTTGGTGCAGCCCTCCCTGGGAGCTCTTTAACCCTGCTGAGGATAGGGCCGTGTTGGTGACCCGCTTTGCCTGCTCTGGACCAAGAAGACCTCACACCATTTGAAGCTAATGGAGGATTGCTAGTACAGCACTGAGGTGTGTGATACAGGCAGACCTCCCTTTCCCATCTGCAGTAGTTTCTGCTTCACAAAGGAGGTAAATATGCTAGTGATTGTGAGGTGCAATCATGGTGAAGAAGGTCATCAATACATGTTAGTGTGATACTGTTTTATCCCTACTCTGCATAGGAGTCTAAGTACGTGATGGCTAGCTTGTGGAGTCTCAGGCAGGGCTTCAGGCAGAGGCTAGTGCTCCTGTTTCTTTCTCACGTGGCTCAATACGAGACCTCCTTGCTTGTGAGTGAAGGTAATAGTGACCTTCTGTGGGGCCCAGTTTCTGTTCCCAGTAGTGCTGTTTGTTAAGGGAGCTTACATTTTCCTGGAGAACGAACAATGCCTGACTGTAAATGTGTTCTGAAGTCCTATCTGTGCCTTATCTGTCTCTGAAAAGGCAAACATGAAACTTCAGCTGTTTATTTGCTTGCATGCTTTTAAGATACCACAACCTTGAAAGTACAGTGTCTGAGCTTTTGCTTTGGAATTGATGACGACCTCAGTGCTAGCAAATGTTTCTCAAATGTGAAGTGAATCCTGCCATTTTCTC